TTGGTCGCAGGGTGTTCCAAGGACTTTTGTCAAGGATTGTAGCAAATCTGAGGAGATTTATTATGCGCAGCAAAAAACTGACAGAAGTTGAAAGCGCACAAATCAATGAAACTGTTGTAAATGATACCCGAGAAAACGAGCCAGAAGAACGAGTAGAGGACGTTGAGGAAGTCGAGGACGGTGCTGAGAATGTTGTTGTGCCTAACGCTGTTGAGAATGCTCCTGAACATGGTCTGGAGAATGATGAAGAACAGAAAGGAAAGTTGAACCAAGATAAAGTTGTGAAGATGAGAACGGATATTTTGGAAGAATTATCTCTTATCCAGCATGCTATCATTAATGAGCGAGAGCCTTTATTGAAAATTCGACATACCAACAAATACAGAAATATAATTGAGGTCGGAAACGAAGCCCTAAAACAACTATGTGAGGAAACCGACCCAAACCTTACAGAACTAAACGAACTGGTATATGCAACAGGAAAAGTAATCCAAAAAAGATGTGGTGTCAAACCTAAGAGAAAGAAAAGAATTGTATGTAAGCCTAGTAAACCGAAATGGCAAGTAAAAATTGATAAAGAAATCGAGAACCATAAAAAGGAAATTTCTCTTCTAGAAGAGCTTCAGAAGGATAAAGAAATAAAATCTGGCAAGGCTAGAAAAGTTCTGCGAAAGTATAAGATAAAAAGCAAAGACCAAGTACCAGCTATTCAGGAAGAACTAAAGCAAAAACTACAAGTTAAGGCTCAGCGACTACGGAGGTACATTAAACGGAATAAATTCTATAGACAGAACAAAATCTTTGAAACAGACCCTAAAAAGTTCTACCGAGAGATCGGAAAATCAGATTTCACTCTAGATGAAATACCGTCAGAAGGACAAATATGTGAATTCTGGAACAATATCTGGGGAAAAGAGAAAAGGCATAATGAGAACTCTGAATGGCTGAACATCTTCGAAAGCAACACGAATAATATCCCCGAACAGGAATGGGGAGAAATAAAAGTGGAAGAAATACAAAAAGCTCTTAGAAAGTCTCACAAGTGGAAATCACCAGAAATCACCAAATCCCAAACTTCTGGCTTCACACTCAACACTCAGCACATTCAAAATTAGCATTAAACTTCAATAAATTAATGACAGACCCAACGACAACACCTAAATGGTTTTGCCAAGGTACTACTTATCTTCTCGCGAAAAATAATGAAACTGCAAACGCAAAAACTACCGCCCAATAACCTGCCTGTCAACAACCTACAAACTTATAACCTCTATACTCACTGAACGAACATACGCACATCTGGAAGATCACAAAATATTTCCAATTGAACAAAAAGGCTGTCGGAAAGGATCGTATGGTTGCAAAGATCAATTGCTAATTAATAAAATGATACTAGAAAATGCCAAAACCAAACACAAACACCTGAGTACTGCTTGGATAGATTACAAAAAAGCTTTTGACAGTGTTCCCCATTTCTGGATTTTACATTGTCTAGAAACTTTCAAAGTCTTCCCTGTGCTAGTTAACTTTCTTAGAACATTTATAAAGCTGTGGGAAACTAACCTTACTCTTTCCCACTCAAACAGAATTTTGAATGCTGATGGTATGCACATAAAAAGTGGAATTTTCCAGGGTGACTCTCTCTCCCCTCTTCTGTTCTGCATGGCACTTGTACCGCTGTCCCAACTCCGGTATGATACTGGGTATGGATACAAGATCGGGAATAAGAAGATAAATCATCTGTTTTATATGGATGACCTGAAACTCTATGTCAGTATTGATGATGAACTTGAAGGACTGCTAAAAACAGTAAAGGCATTTTTAATACAGAAGATGTTTTCAGATGTTTATTATTAAGAATAAAGAATTTCCTATAAGTAGTTCTAAGTCAGTTAACATTTTGAACGATTTGATATACACAACAGATCAGGGGTGTAGTGTTATGGGGGCTCGGGGGGCTGAGCCCCCTTTTTAATGGCGAACAGTAGCCATTTTCTACTTTTGCTATTGTTTCTCGCGACGTTTTGTGCAAGGCCCTCCTTGTTATTTTGATTGCAACACCCCTACAACGGAGAATCTCTAACACAAACGCAACTATATTGGGAGTGAGCGTGTGTGTGGTTTTGGGCGTGGCCTGTGCAGCACAGCCCCCTTCCAACGTTTTAGCACGGCTCCCCCCTGCGGAGAAGGTAAAAAGTACTTCAAACCCATAAATGAGTTACATTCCTTTTGGCTTTAAGAATGAAGGTCATCCCTCCCCTCTCTTAAATTTGCTGCCGTGAGATTAAAACCTGTTATGAGAATCAGATAATAGACATGATAAACTCTTTTGCAAGATGTAAATAGATCAGAAAAAATTTCAAATGTGGGTTTTGTAAAATAACGTATTTTTTTTTAAAACCAAGATTCTTCAATAGCGAAAGTATAAATTAGCAGCAACCAACCATTACAACATAACGACTTTGTTTAACGACAACTTCGACTCGACTGGACTTACACTGAAAGAACATACGCTTTTAACAACATGAGTGACGCACACAAAACCCTAATGACACAAATTAATGGCAAATGACTAAAAACAACTAAAATAACAATGGCACGATGACAAACAAAATGGACTGACGCAAACATCGAAAGACATCCTCATTAACGATAACGAACCACAAATACGATTCACGACAGACAAAACTAGTTGTATAACAGTTACCTATTAGCTTAATACTGTATTTTTCAACCTCTTAAATCAGCATTTGTATATTTTTGTTAAAGGTGAAAGTTTTCAGAGGTCTCTTAATGCGCCCACCATCTATTGTTCCATTACACCCAATTTTAGTAAAGTAGTATCAATTTTTACCATTATCATTTTCGTTCAAATTTATCGTAAAGATGTTTCTGGAGAGAACATTTTCTTGCATATCTTCTTGTTCTTATTATAAGTCCTAATGAAAAAGTGAGCAAAGCTATAAGGGCCTTTCAATTATAAAAATGGTTGAGAACTATCGAAACGAGAGCAACAGTCAAAAAAGTCAAGGAATTTCCTTCTTCGCGTTTCTAAGTTGCTTCGTTGGCCATCTTCAAAATTTCTTTAAAGAAACTGAATTTTATGAAAAAATCAGTATCTTTAAAAATCAGGACTTTAAAAATTTAAAGAACGAAGAAAAACAAACATTTCTCCCTAAAACAGGCACCGCAGAGCGTTGAAAAAAGAGGTCCAAAAGATAGCAAAGCCTCCCCCTTCTGCTCCCCGGTGCCTGTAAGAACAAGAGATTGCCAAAGTCATTCTATGTAACGTTAGCGTATTCAGTTTATCCATTAACTTCTTTTGCATGGTAATTCTCTCATTTAATAAATAAAAAAATACGGATTTGTCTTTGCAGTCTAAGTGTAAAACATGTCGAAATGAGGGCTGGTAGCATTGATGACACAATTTTTATAAGGTTCCACTAAAAAGTTACAATACATACTACAAACTACGCTACTACCAAAAATTACTTTACTACAATACAGGGAACGCCACTATAAGAAGCAGAAGGCTGTGACTACTGCAGGGCCATTACATAAAACTACAATTGACTGTCTCAAACAGTTTGCGAAAATAAAAAGTTAAAACAAAACAGAATAGGGCCAAACGGGACTTTACTTCAAATAGGACCAAATGGATGCGTTTGTTGGTCTACAATGAAGTTGGTTTAATCAAATCGGTCAGATTTATGAATGAATTGGAGAGTGAGGAGAAGTAAATTTCTATTGAATTCGTCAAAAAAGTTTTTATCACCATACAAAAAATCTGCATTAGATCGTTGTTTGGAAGATTTGCATATCCAAATGGTTGTAATAAATCAAAATCACGTCTGCGATGGTGCAATATACAGTCCAGGAAGTCTTGGAATTCGCAATGGCAAAACATGCATGATCAACGGCAGCCGAAAGGAAACAGAACACAAATGCATTTAAAGGAACTAGAGAAAGGAATTTTGAATTGAGAGGAAACTCAGAGAGAATTGAAATTTTCAGCTCTCTTTAAACCATAAATAGATCTTAGTGAAAGTAGAATAAGATATATACTGAGATATACTGAGAAGCAAGCGACACGACCAGGGCAGAACTGTCTACAAGCCCCCAAAGTTAACAACTGCAACCTTTTCGAAAGAGAAATAAAATCATCATTGCTTAGAAGGAATAGCCTGAGTATACAAGCAAAAAGTATCCTGGGTACCAGAGCCACCTAAATTCGAGAGCCGCACATTTTCTAGGACGCAAGGATTCATTGTGTATCAATACGGAATGAATTCTCTGTTGGAAAGTTGTCACTTTGTGATTTCTATGGACACACTTTGGCCAATTTCTGCAAAAGAAAAATTACCTGTTTACTAATGCCCTCTTCATGAAGTCACAAGAGCTCCTGGATCTGGCTTTCTCCTGGTGGTGATTAGAGATACCAGATTGATTTTACAATAACTTATACAAGGATAAACAATTCATTCTGGAAAAATTTCATCACAGAACCTTATAAAGAGGCAAAACTCAAGTCAAACCTGACCATGAGGTCGTGAATGATGAAATATCCTCCACTTCATTCGTTGCCGATAAAGCAGGAAAGCAATTTTAAAGTTGAATTTGGAATGTGTTAGCAATGTTTTCGTGTTACAATGCAATAATAACAGGCACAGCAGTAACTAGTTCGTTCCATCCAGCATACCACAGACGGTACTACTACATTTATCTTTACTAACACTGACAAAAACTACGACTTAAAAGAAAGACTGGATTGCAACTCTAGTAATGTTATTTACGCATTACAATGCAAACGCTGTTTGAGTAACGGACACAAAAACGCCAAACGGCATGAACAGAGCCAATCAAGAGGACCAAAACATGCAAAGAGACACACGATGCACATTCAATACAAAAGCGATTATGCAAGGCTGACTGACGCAAAGAAACTCGATCATCTACATAAAATCAATCAGCTAAATGATAAATGTGCTTGGCTTTCAATCCCAAGACATAAAGACCGAGAAAACCCAGAACAAATGGAGGGGACAAATGGAGGGGACAAATGAAGGGGACAAATGGAGGGGACAAATGGATGGGACAAATGGAGGGGAAAAATCGAGGTGACAAATGGGGGACAAATGGAGGGGACAAATGGAGGGGCCAAATGGAGGGGACAAACGGAGGGGACAAATGGAGGGACAAATGTATGGGACAAATGGAGGGGGCAAATGGAGGGGACAAATGGAGGGGAAAATATAAGAACCATCGGTTCCCATGACCTCGAAACCCTGGTCCTTTTAACAAACTTCGATGATCACTTTCAAAATTGAAAAATAAAAAATTGTAAATTTTTGGGAAAATTCCTTTTTCCTCAAAACAGCCTAAAACGCCTTAATTTAGGTTTCAAACACCATTTTACGATTTTTGGATGAATTTGAAGCTAATATTCTGAGATAAGTTATTTATAAGATTAATTTTTCAGATAAGACAAGTCATTTTCAAGAAAACTTTGACCTTTAATAGAAAAGAGCTAAAAAACTTATTTTTCTGAAAGAAGCAATTCTTTTCACGAAACAACCTAAAATGCCTTGATTGTCGTTTCAAACATCATTTTAATTTCACATCATCGTTTTAGTGTTTTTGATGAAAGTCAAGCTCATATATCAAGATAAACATTCTAGTCTTTTCTATTAAATGGTTTGACCCAGGATATGCAAAAAAATTCAAACATTGTCAATTTTCGGGAAAAAACTTTGTTCAAGCAACCTAAAATGCCTTAATTTACGTTTCCAACATAATTTCACAAGTTTTGGATGAATTTCGAGCAGATATTCTGAAACAAAAATACTACTCATTTTAAAAAGAACTATGACCCCGGATTTGCAAAAATTAGAGATCATCAACTTATAAAGAACAATTTTATTGTTGTAAAAAAACATAAAATGCCATAAAATACCTTTTTGTTATCACTTCAAGATACCTCCATGACATTAGAAGTCAGATCTGAAAGAAAAGGTTAAGATGAAATTTGAAAATTTTTATCACAAAAAACCTTTAAAAGACGTCACAATAAAAAAACTAGTCACAATCAACAAAAATTACTTTTTTAAGCAACCAA